TGTTCGACCAGCGATTGGACAACGGATGTACGAGAGGGGCTCGGGGCACGACCTCTCGCATACCTTCGACCCAGAGGTCGGTCTTACACCACCTTGACTTGTACAGCTAGTTTCATACTTAGGAAATATTTTGGTTGTTCCCTTTCTGAAAGTCGAACTGAAGTCGGCCAAACGTAAGGGCAAGGCCCTGCATGATCAGACCAGAACGGACCCGCATCGTTGATCCTATCAAGCGCGTATGCGGGCAGTTAAGTCTGTCAACGTCAGACAACAGATTACGGATGTACGAAAGGGGCTCAGAGCACGACCTTTCACATTCCTTTGGTCCGGAGACCAGTCATATAGTTTCCGCATCGTTGATTGGATCATACGTGCATGCGAGCTGTTTAGACAGCAACGTCAGACAACAGATGTACGAGAGGGGCTCGGGCGCGATCTCTCGCATACCTTTTCGACCCGAAAGCCGGTCTGACAATTGCCCTGACCGAGCAGCTAAACCCTGGACGTAGAAAATAGTTTGATTATTTCTTTGCCCGAGGGCCGAGCCGTGGTCGACTAAACACCGAGAGCAGGGCGTGGTATACATATACTCTCTTTTTTTCTCCTTTTTTTGCTCTCCTTTTTTTTTGCTCTCCTCTTTTTTTTTTGCTCTCTTTTTTCTCTCTCTTTTTTTATTTGCTCTTTTTTATGCCGCCGCCCGTTTAATCCAAGTGAGGTCGGACCTCATCAAATTCAAGATTGAAAAACGAAATATATATTTTTTTTAAGTAATGAAAGAATTTGAGAACTTGAGGAGTTGCTCGAGTTATGCACTTGATCTACAATTTGTGATGATCGACTCATAGAATGTGAGAGAGCTGATCTTCAATCTACTCTTCATCAACGAGCTTGCAGTACTTCGCTCTTAGGATTAGAGAAGGTTCCTGGCACTCCACACTTAATCTTCAAGCTTGTATTGCTCCGCTCATAGAATCTAACAATTTGCCCTGCGCTCCGCACTTGATCTACAAGCGTGTTGTGCCCCGTTCATAGAATTTGGCAAAAGTGCCCTACACTCCACTTGATCTACAAACTTGCAGTGCTCCGCTCATAGAATTTGATAAGGTGCCTTGCGCTGCGCACTTGATGTACAAGCTTGCGATGTTCCGCTCATAGGACTTGACAGGGTGTCCTGCATTGATCTTGATCCTCATACTTTGTAGCTTTGTTGTTGATGGTATGGACCCTGTGGTCCACCCGCTCGAGTTGCTTCAACGCCTTCGCGTAATGGCTTTGTGTAATGGCTTCGCGTTGCAAGGTTTTATTTCAATGGTGCTTCCGGGTCTCCGAGTTACAGCTCCGTGTTGCAAGGTCTGTGCCCCTTGGCAACGGTGCTTCCTTCCTTCCCAGGACGAGTGCTGCCGGGAGGGCCTCCTTCCTGGCTCCGCCCTTGTGGAATGGCTTCACGTTGCAAGGTTTGTAACCCTTTAGCAACAGTGTTTCCTTCCTTCCCGGGACGAGTGCTGCCGGGAGGGCCTCCTTTCTGGCTCCGCCCTTGTGGAATGGCTTTGCGTTACAGGGTTTGTAACCCCATAGCAACGGTACTCCTGGACCTTCATGATCAGCTTCGCGTTGCAAGGTCTGTACCCCTTAAACAACGATGCTTCCACGACTTCGAGTAATAGCTCCGCGTTGTAAGGTCTTTACCCCTTTAGCAACAGTGCTTCCTTCCTTCCCGGGATGAGTGTTGCCGGGAGGGCCTCCTTCCTGGCTGCCGCTGCGTTGCAAGGTATGTACCCCTTTAGCAACGGTGATTCCATGCCTTCGAGTAACAGCTCTGCGTTGCAAGGTCTGTACCCCTTTATCAACGGTGCTTCCAGGACTTTGAGTAACAATTCTGCGTTGCAAGGTCTGTACCCCTTTAGCAATGGTGCTTCCTTCCTTCCCGGGACGAGTGTTGCCGGGAGGGCCTCCTTCCTGGCTGCCGCTGCGTTGCAAGGTCTGTACCCCTTTAGCAACGATGCTTCCATGCCTTCGAGTAACAGCTCTGCGTTGCAAGGTCTGTACCCCTTTATCAACGGTGCTTCAATATGGTATGAGTGAATGGTTCTGGGATGTGGAGGTCAGCCCCGTATGGCTCTCCTCCGACGACCCTTCTCCTCAACTTGCCCAGCCTTAGCATCAGGTCTTCCACCGCATCAGGGGTCGGTTCTGCTCGTGCGCGTCCAGCGTGGAGCTGAACTTGCGCAGAAGATTCTGCAACCCTCTCGCGTACGTGAGGTCGAGATTTAGCATGACATCCGTCCGGGAAGGCTGTCCGCCTGCCCGGTCGACGAGAGTGATAAGACGAGCCATCCTTCTTGGCTACCATGGCTACCCAAGTTGTCGGGACACATACTCCCTTTGAGATTCATCTGTGCCGGTACATCTTTGTTGATACGTCTCCCGGGGTGCTAGCTGTCTACCCGGTCGACGGGAGTGATGAGACGAATCGTTCCCTCCTTCCCGGAACGAGTGTTGCCGGGAGGGCCTCCTTCTTGGCTGCTCAACTTGCCGGGACACGTACTCCATTCGGGATCCGTCTGTGCTGGTACGTCTCAACTTGTTAGGACACATACTCCCTTCGAGATCTGTCTGTGCTGGTATGTTTGTGTTGGTGCGTCTACCGTGGCTACCCAAGTTGTCGGGACACATACTCCCTTTGGGATCCATCTGTGCCGGTACATCTTTGCAGATACGTCTCCCATGGGTGCCAGCTGTCTACCCGGTCGACGGGAGTGATGAGACGAATCGTTCCCTCCTTCCCAGAACAAGTGTTGCCGGGAGGGCCTCCTTCTTGGCTGCTCAACTTGCCGGGACACGTACTCCATTCGGGATCCGTCATGCTCCAAGCGTACGAGCATGGTGTATGGGCATCGAGCATACGAGCGTTTCGAGTGATAGCTCCGAGCGTGCATGATTTTGCGGCGGTGTTACGCGACCGGTCGATGCTGGTGACCACCCTGCAATTTCAAAAAATTCTAATAGAAATTTCATGTTTAGATTTTTAACGTTTGATGATTTTTCTTTGCTTGATGGTGGGTTAGTGAGGCTAATATTAGATTTGGAACCACACTTTTGACTAGGTCAAAATTAGAAGGATGGCTTAGAAAACGTCAAAGGCCTTCCGTGAGCAAACTTTGCCCAAACCCTCTCAGCCGCTTGAAGCTCCCTATCCAATTCGAACTGCCTTCTTCAGGAACAAGGACATGCTCTGTTCTGGAACAGACCTGCGGCTGGAAAGTCCTGACTGGATGAAGAGCAAGGCCGCAGATGACCTCCCTGGGCTCGAAGCTCTGCTGTTTCCTTCAGTCATCGATGTTGCTAGACGGGAGAGGAGAGGAGCTCTGACTCCGCGACAGAGCAGCGTCCTTTGGTGGGGATGACTGGGCAGATCCCCTGGCGACCGCTGCGTTGAGGGAATAGCATGAACCTGCGTCTGGCCTCGATCATGCTGCCCTCGCACGTGTGTCACTGGTCTGTGGAGAAGACGCTAGATCTGCAGGTCGAGGAGACGAATTGGGGCCAGAACACTGGACCACTGGTTGGAGGTCGCCGAGTAGTTACCCTCGTCTGAGCGTGAGTTCGGTGGGGAAGATTCCCCAATTGTGGAACTGCCAGAGAAACGCACTACGAACAGAGGGGCGAGCTCGCCATTAATGGCGACCAGAAGCTTTGACCAGTAGCTCGTCCCGGAGCGACCGTCACGGCGGTGGAACGACCTGCTGACTGACGCCGTGGCAGCTCTGCGAGACACGCCTGGCGAGGGACTGCCGGTGTGGCTGAATTTGGCGAGGTGGAGAGCCGGGTGCTCTGGCGGTACCTGGTCTTCCAATAGCAGAGCAGCACCTTCGGCCATCTTCTGCTTCGCCCGGATCCTTGCCGTCTTTTTCCGGATCTCAAATTTTGAGATTTAGGTCTAATTTTTGCTAGGCATCACCGATAGTAGGCTGCCTATTTACAGTACTTATTTTTTACGAATTTTGTCGAATTCTGCCTAATTCTTTGTTTATGCTTTTGCGTGATATCTTACTTGATCACTGCTCGAATCTCCCCAATTTCCTACTGAAAAAATAGAGAATGACTCTCAATGAAAGCACCAATGTTGGTAGAAAATAAATATCCCAGGTAGAGAAACTGGCAGCAATTCAGTATATTGAAAAATAACTCCTCCAATACATGGGAGGTGATGGCCTATTTATAGGCATCCATCACAAGTCCAAAGTCTAATCTACGTGGGCTTGACCCAAATACATAATACATGTCCAAGCTAATGGGCGAACCGGCCCGATAAATAAGTAAATGAGCAAGGGGTGATTCCCGCTCGTGAGACTGCGTCTTGGGCCTAGTTGGGCCAAAGCTCGGGGATAACAGGCCGATGGCACTGGGCCTGGCATATTATCCCAACAACAATCAAATAGGGACATCCCAATATGGTAAAATGAGACATTTAAAAGGGGACGGAGGGAGTATGTAATTATTTTTTAATGATATGCTAACTAAATGAATATTACCAGGCTGGGCTGAGTCGCGGGGACAAAGTGATCGAACTAAAGCCCAGTACAACTTCTAGCAACTTTCCCTCCATTTCCCGCTTTATTTAGGCAGGGGAAACCAAAGCCGCACATAGGATCTGCGTTTTCTTTCGCTCGCGCCCCTTTCCTAGTGAAGCAGTTGACGGAGACTGAGAGAAATGGGAGGGACAGACGTCGACGGGGCCGCCGGAGGCGATGGAGAGGAGGATGTGCAGGAGGAGTTCGCGGTGTGGAAGGGGAACACGCCGCTATTGTACGACTTCGTCATCTCTCATTCCCTCGAGTGGTCTTCTCTCACCGTTGAATGGCTTCCTTCTCCTCCAACTGATGACGGACCTTTTTCCTTGCACAACCTTATATTGGGGACCCACAGCGCTGAAGATTGCCCTAACTTCGTTATGCTCGCTCGGGCGTACCTTCCTCGGAGCCCTGCGCCTGGAATGGCCCCGGCTCTCACCAAATCTCAAACGCCCAAGGTTACAGACTTACAGATAACCTATTTTTACCTAACAATTTGATTTTTTATTGTACACCTTTTTCCTCGATGAATGTGTCCTAAAATCATGTTTCACGCTGGACTTTCCGATCCTTGATTGCAAACGCTTAGCACAAGGTGTTTGGTAGATTTAGTGTGTGTGCGCCATTTTCTTACGGAGCTGAGTTCTTTCGGTTTACTCGTAGATCTGTTAATTTTATTTAGTCTCTCAGGGGAATCCGAGTTAAGGAGCTACTTCCGGTGAAGTTATCCCACTTCCTAAGCTTGTATACTGTTTACAGGTAGAGATAGTGCGAAAAATACATACGGGTGGGGAAGTGAACAGAGCAAGGTGTATGCCGCAGAACACATCTATCGTTGCAGCTAAAACTAATTGCAGCGAAGTTTACCTGTTCGACTTTGCCAAGGTGTATACCTGTTCGAGTAATAATGAAGGTGGTTCCTGTGACCCTGACTTGAGATTGAAGGGCCATGATGAAGAAGGGTATGGCTTGTCATGGAGCCCATTCAGGGAGGGAATTCTTTTGAGTGGTTCAAACGACTGCAAAATTTGCTTATGGAACATATCAGCCTCACCTAATGATAAGGTGCTCGAAGCAGATTTCATCTATCAGGTAGCGTCTGATATATTTTACTACGGAGTACATATTATAATTTTTATTCTTGCATATCAGATATTGCTGTCTTAACTCACTTTGTTGATTTAAATTACAAGCTCACGAGATGGAGTCATTTGTAACGCTTAAAATATCTGATATACAAATGTGAATGTTATTTTAGGCACATCAAAGCGTGGTTGAAGATGTCTCATGGCATTTAAAGAATGAAAACATGTTTGGGTCTGTTGGAGATGATTGCCAGCTAATTATTTGGGACACTCGCACAAATAAGCCCCAGCACTCTGTCTTAGTTCACGAAAAGGAGGTGATCTTGAATTTCACATAGTGCATTTTAGTTTTGTAGTGTTTGTCAGGGATATTTAAGAGCAATCTCATACTTGTTTTCTCCATTACATAGATTTCATATCTAGTATTTGCTTCCATGTATATAAGGTGTAATGCCTATATATTTTATAAATGTGTGTGTGTGTATGTTTAGTGCTAGCTGCTTTGCTGAGTCTTCAAGTTTTACATACATCTAGACACTCAAATGTGAGGGTGAGACACAAATATGGTATCTCTACACACCCTTTAGTCCTTGACAATATATACATATCATACATAAATAGTTAAGGTTTGGCGATTGGCGAATTTGGCTTTGTACTATATTTTTAATCCAATTTTGTGTCTATACCACAATTTCCAAATCATTAATATTTGCACATTACAATTCAAAGATCTGTCAAAAATGGGGTGCAAAATCCAATTTGGAAGAAATAATGGAAACTCAGATTTGGTGAAAACTCGGGTGTCAATTCCAATTTTTCTGACAGTAAAAGTTTAAAATACAGAATGTGGGTTATTTTTCTCTGATTAATCATGTGGTATCTTCAAAAGCTCCGTTGTGCTCTAATGTTCAATGCATCTCATCTTTAATTCAGGTCAACTATCTATCCTTCAATCCATACAATGAGTGGGTAGTTGCAACGGCATCTTCAGACACTACAGTTGGTCTGTTTGACATGCGAAAGTTGAACGCTCCATTGCACATCTTAAGCAGTCATACGTATGCCCTTTTGTATTACTCTAATAAGATCAGTGCATCTATTATCTCCTGATAGTCTGTGTCTGACAAAAATATGCGATTTGCCGGTTAAGCCCATTTTTACATACTGACATGATGCTCTTTTGCAGGGATGAAGTATTCCAGGTGGAATGGGATCCTAATCATGAAACGGTGTTGGCATCTTCTGCTGGTGACAGAAGGTTAATGGTTTGGGATATTAATAGGTATTGTGGCCAACTTGATAAAAGTACATCACCATTTAATTTTCACCTTATGTTTGCTACTACGTATATTATACTACCTCTGTCCCAATTTGAATGTCCCATTTTGGATTACAAAGTTTGACAAAAGCAAAAGTTAACTCTCTCCTAAGTCCTTATAATATTTCAATTGTATTAATAGTATAAGTTTATATGTTTATAAAGTATACTAAAAGGTTTATTGAACTGCTATTACTGAATATGATTATGATACATAAAATTTATCGATTAATAGAAAACTAGGTTGATCCTACAATAGTGAACGAGACCTTCAAATTCAAACAGATGAAGTAATAATTATCCTGGCTTGCTCACCATTATTGAGAGGGTTGATTTCAGGGTAGGAGATGAGCAGTTGGAAGGAGAAGCTGCAGATGGCCCCTCTGAACTAATCTTCTCTCATGGGGGTCACCAAGCTAAAATATCTGACTTCTCTTGGAATAAAAATGAGCCATGGGTCATCTCAAGTGTTGCAGAAGACAATACTATTCAAATTTGGAAAATGGCAGATAATATTTACAGTGATGAAGACGGCGAGTTGCTTACCAATAGATCTTGAAAGTCATGGTTTTCTGTTCAGATTTGTTTTTACTGGAAAGGGGATGATAATTCGCGCATTATATAATTGATCTCTTACATTCACAGAACATCTGTTAAAAAATTGTTGCTTATTCGCTTAGTGCTCTTATGAGAATCAATTCATCTTTTGGTCCTCTCCAACTGTACAACACATAAGTTACATTTGGGCATTTTGAAATGGATATATAATGTCAGCATAATCTTTAAGGCTAGCTCTCCAGCAGAATTTTCAGTTCCAACTGAAAAGTAAATCATGCATTACAGCACAGGTATCTCTGCTGACTGAAACCAAGGGCTTGTTTGGGTTGTTGATTCTGCAAGGGGTGATTTGATGATACTGTATTTTAGATAATACTCCGTATCTACCATCTACATTTAGCTGCTTGTAAATAAAGTGAGATAAAAAACAATATAAACATACATGATTTAACTTATCACATGAATATTTCTCATTTTAAACTAACAAATATAAATTAATTCTCCCATTCTCTTTTGAGATCCTGGACCAAACAAGCCCTAAGAATTAACAAAAGGAGATCAAAGTTTGAACTAATACAGTTTATTTGAAAACAAACAAACTGTATTTATTAAACGCATATACAGCTTACCCAGCACGAGAATAAAAAAGATACTCTCTTTTTTAGAACGGATAGAATAATGAATAAATAAAACTGAGAAGTCAGTTCTAATTAGTGTTCTTATTACTCCTCTTACTCCCACCAGAAACACTAACAGGCTTGTTGCTGTAGCCTACTCCAAGCCTGACAGGCTCTTTCACTCCAGAAATTTGTTGATTACCACCAGCCAAACAATGCAGGCTATCAAAACCACAATTACTATTCAATCCTTGGTCGTTCACTTCCGAACTTATGCCACCGTCTGAACCACCTGGTTGGAGGCAATGAAGGGAATAGTCATTCACATTGCACTGAACATTGCAAGGATTCATTTGCTGCTGCTGCTTATTATAAGCATATGGAAAACACCCAATCTCACCCTCAATCCTTCCCCTCATGTCGACAAGCAAACACTTGAGCCTTACCAGCTCAGCTTCGAGCACCACCTGCCCCTGCAACCTCTTCAGCAATTGCTGGTTCACAGCCCTCAACCTCACAACCTCGTCCTCTAACAATGCTGCCCTCGCCTTCTTCTTCTCCCTATACTTGCGGACGGCTTCCCGATTCCCCAATGGTCGTTTCTTTCCTTCTTTCTTATCATCCACGGACTCCGCGGTGTTGTCTTCACTGGATGCAACAGGCGTAGGCGGAACTATTTTGGTGTGGACATGGTAACAGGTGTGGGTGTGTGAGTTGTCGGGTCCTGGCGGGTTGCAGGTATGGGCATGAGTGCATGCATGAGTGTCCTTCAGGATTTCATTCAAAAAACTGTCCATAAAACTGCTGTCTGGTAATTCACTGATATTCAAATCCGATAACAGCATCTCCTGGCTATTTGAAAACTCAAGCTCTCCATCTTCCATTTTAATTTTTTTTCTGCTGAAGTGACATATGCGTCCCCTTCAGGCCAGCCAAACCCTAGAAGCGAGAGAGGATAATAATTAAGATAAAAATTCAATCTTTCATTAAATACCTATGTACTAAGACTTCAAATTAGCAGGCGCCAAGTTCGTGTTTACCATGACAGAAGAAAAATCAATGTACGGAACTTTATTAAAATGCAATAGATTATCTTGAATGCACCAGGAAGTTCAATCAGAGCAAAGGCGAACTTACAATTGAGATTTCCGATAACAATTTGACTTGAATTCGCCGTCTGGGCGTCTGGAAATTCCGATAAGAATTATGAGAAATTTTGATGGCCGTCTGGAAGGGAAAGAGACCCCAGAAAGAATAAAAGACGCAGTTAAAATAATTGTCAAGACTTGCAACAGCAGTCATGAATGCACTTGGAGATGGGGTCAGTTTATTCCTAATTTTGGGAATGGAAATCTAAAAAGGAGCTTAGGCAAATCATTGCATTCATTTTTACCCAGGCGTGTTTGGGGTCCCTATATTACAGATGCCCGGATGTATGTATCCCGTAAACGAATTAAATAATTTATGTTCGATTCGAATTCGTATAACACGATTCGAATTCAGAAAATTCAAATACAAATATAAATAAGAATATTAAATTTGATTCGAGTTGTTATCAAATACAAATAAGAATATGAGTGTATTCAATTTGAATATTAATCAAATATTCAAATAATAATAATGGTAATATTAATGTCAATAATAATAATAATAATAATAATAACACTATAATAACTTTTAAAAGATAGTAATGCCCTCAAAGTGTAACCCATATATACACTTTTGCATACAAATTCCAAACCTATTTGTAATAAATCAGAATATAAATACAAATACAAATCAATTTTTTTGGTTCAAACGTCTTTCAAATACAATACAAATAATTATGTATTCGATTTGAAGAATAAAATTAGAGTTGTTTAACTTTGATATATACAATTATCAACTTATTTCACACATTATAAGCATAATTTCTAATATGTGTGTTAGTGTTTATTTAAAAAAGTTTGAAATAGATTTATATTTATTAATCATAAAATTAATTCACTTTAGTATATTGTGTACCATCTAAAAATGCAATGATCCATTAAATTTAAATTCAAAAAACACATATTAAGTCATAGCATGCATTTACAACATAAAAAATATGGAATATAAAAAAGTTCTTTTAGAGTGATATTTGACTAAAATTTAACTTATGCTCAAATCGATTCGATATTCGTATACGATTCGTTAACTATTCGTATTGTTAAACAGATACAAATACAAATCAAAATTAATATTCATTTCATATTTGAATTCAAATTCGTATTCGAAAAAATTAAACAAATACAAATACAAAATCTCATTATTCGACTCGATTCGGTTCATATACAACCCTACATCCAGCCCAATAACCAATACATGCCAATTTTTTCGGTGACATTTTTGTAATTTAAGCGGAAAATCATGGCTTACGCTAAATGAGAAATATTGAACTTTTACTGAACATTTGACCTATTTTATTGAGTATCAGGAGTCTAACAATGAGTATTACGATCTCTGCTTAATATCTTCTAATTCTTTTTCTTATTTTTTCTTTTATAAAAACTTATTAAATTATATCTATAATCCACTCTATTAATTTCAATATGCGAGTCTAATGTAATATGATACGTTTGAAGTATGCATTAATATGACATTTTAAAAAAGAGCATAACATCAATACCAAATGAGCATAAATAACTTACAAAGTGAACATTGATATGAAAATTGTAAACTTTGTTAGTTGAACATCATGACATATTAATTGAGCATCAAACACCCGCTATTGAGATGAAAAACACGGTTTCTATTGAATGAGTATTAATGAACTTTTAATGAGCATTCATAGGTTATTACAGGATTAGGTTGGTGACATGGTGGATTGTTTTTGAGATTATGATTGAGTGATGGAGATTATTTGACAAAATAATCTGGGATTGAAATATGAATCCAGATTATCTCAAGATTATTGTGAAGCTAGTATTAATTAGTGAGTGTAGGACCCACAAAAGATCTGATTATTTTGAGATGAAGAATGATGTAATTTAGAAGGTGTGAGATTATTTTGAAAAAGTCTACATGTCATTAAAAAATCTGATTAATGTATCATGGATGTGGATGCTCTTAGGAGTCTAATATTCAGAATGATCTCTGTTTCATAACTTATAATTCATTTTCTTCTTTGTTATTTTTCTTTTGTAAAAACTTATTAAATTCATGAGAATTGATGATGCTAATGATTTACTTTAAACAAAAAAAAAATCAAAAATCATGTTCGGATTCATACACTTAAGGTATGTTTGGGAGTTTGAAGGGAAGTGGAGGGGAATGTTTTGAAAGTTAGTCATTAGAAGGGAATGGGAAGGAAAAGAGAGAAAACTCTCCTTGTTAGAGAGTAACAAATTTGAAAAGATAAATGTTATGGATGATCGAGTTATAATTAAAATCACTTCACATATATGATAAATTCAAATAGTTGTATATATATTTATTTAAAGTTGAGCTAAAGATGTCATTGATTTAGTTATTCTTCAAAATCCTCCAATTTGGGGTAACTTCAAAATTGATCAATTGAAAGGTTTTGGAAGATTAGAAAAGCCCTCCAAAATCATCCCTCCATATTTTCTAAACTCCTAAACATGAAAGGATCAAAGGAAGAGTCATACACACCATTATCAATTAACCTTCAAAACCCAACTTCCAAACATACACTTAGACCGAAGAAGACTCATTCTTATTCGAAGTATGTTTATTCAAGAGTGAAGGACGTCGATCTCTTGTTTTGATTTGTGATTTCAAATGTTCAGCAAACAAAAAATATTTGATGGTTTAAATTTGCCATTGGGGTGGGAACTTCCCATTTCAGTATATGATAATAAAGTGAGATGAGAACAAAAATAAAAAGGATGATAAATATTACTGTGGTACTACCTCCGTCCCGAAAAGGTTCGCAATATTGACTTTTCTTGATCAATGATGACAAATTTTGGACAATGATTTTAATAATTATATTTGTATATAATTTATAAATTTTATACTTTTATGAAAATATTTTGAATAAGGAACATTTTGAAATAATTTTCATATTCTAAATAATTTCATATTAACAAATATCATTGATCAAAGTTGATTGTCATTGACTAAAAAAGTCAATTTGCCAAATGAAGTTTGAGATCGTAATCATAATCCACTAAGCTACTACTTTCATAATTAATCATAGAAAAATGGCACCAAAATTACTATTGGGCTTTCTCAAGACACAAATATGACCACTTTTCATTTTTCCAAAAATATGACTTTACTCAATTTTTGAAACCCGTTTAACCGGTAATCACAACTTACTTGCCGGTTACCCACCCAGAAGAATTAACCGTCTCTGCAACTTCAGCACCGCCTTTCTTCTTCGCGCTCTTGCATGTCGACTTTCTTCTCGCTCTTCGATGCCGATTAACAATGGAAGGTAAAGATTCGATTGCTTGATACGCGACACCATTTCTTCTCCCCCGTCTATATTCGCCGTGTTTCTACTCGGCGATTTCGAATTCGACTTCACCACTCGTCGTGTTTCTCAACTTCGTTCAGCACCTCTGTTCCTACTCGGCTCCTTACTTGAGGTACGCTGTCGATTGTATCTCGTTAGTTTCCACACTCCAATTTCACCAACATTGTATTTTTTTTTCAATCTCGTAAGATTACTGCTTTTCTCATACTGTTTTGATTGCATTTATCTATCGACGGTTTTCAACTGCAACTTGGACTATTGCATGTTATACTGTGTTTGTGGTATCTCCTCTTTATTTATATGCACTCATCATTTTGCTCTTAATTTCAATAAAAGTGATGCTTATGGTTCTGTTTGTGTATTTTGTACCTCATTTGATATATTTTTCAGATGGCTGACAGTGCTTCTACATTATCTCCTAGTCCAAGTCTAGCAAAACGCTCATCTTCTCGTTTATCATTGCCACACAAATCAAAATGTGTATGCATTCTTTTGTTTGCTTATTTTCTGTTGTTAAAAGACCAGTACCTACATTATTCCACTATTATGTATATCAAATTCATCTTCTCCTTTTAATATGTTTGTTTCAGACCTTCAAGAGACTTGTCAGCAAGGATGTTGTTTACATGGACATTAAGAATAGGAGAGTTAATACCTTTTCTAGACTTTATGACTCCATAAACCTTGTTAGGTCTAAACTTCTTCCTCATGAACTTGCTATTTTTGAGAAGTTTGTTTTTGGAAAATTCTTAGCTTCTAAGGAAATGTCATGTTGTGGTCAACTTATACATTACCTTTTAGGGAACATGGTTGAGGTAACCAACCTTCAGAATGCTTTGTCGTTTGAAATCGAGGGTAGGATCATCTCATTTTCTGTTTCTGATTTCTCCCACATTATGGGCTTTCCTTATGATGAAACTGTCTCTATTGTGCATGATAATGATTCTGAGAGGGGTGATATCTGGAATACATACTTTCCAGACTGTAAAACAAAAGTCAAACGTCGGGATATTAAGAGTGTATTTCAGTCCATTCAGAGGGGTAGAGAACCAGAACAAAACATCGTTAAGCTTTCCTTGTTATATGTTTTGTCCCATGCTTTTTTGGCTGCCGAAGGTCAGGTTTCAATCCATTCAACATACCTTAACCTTGTAGATGATCTAGCTGCTTTTAATTCTTACCCATGGGGCAGAGTCATTTGGGATGACATGGTAGGTTATTTCAAGGCTTCTTTAAAGAGCATTGAATCTAATCCTTCCCATTACAATGTTTACGGTTGTGTCATTGCATTACAAGTGTGGGATTTTGAGTCATTCCCCGCTCTTAAAGTTATAAATCTAGCTCGTCTAGTAGATCCTTGTTCTGAACCAAGTATACGGAAATGGTCCTCCACTGCAAAGCCATCCAGCGAATCCTTGAAGGATGCAATCTTTTGCAACAAAGAAGTAGGTTTTTCATTTATTCTCTTCTTCTTTTTTGTTGTTATTTTCAAAATCTTGTTTAATATATTTACACTTTCCTTCTTCTTTTTTCAGTTTCTTTTCACTCCCATTTCACAATCTGACAGTGTTCGTGAGCTTGACAACCCTCCAAAACCAGTCCCATTGAAGAAAAAAAGGCGTGTCAAACGTTCTCATGAATCTGAAGACAGAATTACCCCACCACTACCTGATACTACAACAAGTCCTGATGCCCAAACTCACTTCTCTGATTCTGCTCCTCAAAATAATCAAGCTGCAAGTTCAAGTCAAGCAACAAATTATGAAGCTAGGATTGTGGTGCTTGAGGAAGAAGTTCAAACGTTAAAAAATGAGATATTAGGATTTCATGATAAGTTCAAAGATCTACATATTGTCATTGATAATCTCAAAAGTCTTCTTGAAGCTTCAAAGTCCAAAGTATCTGATACTGGAAAAGGATCTCCACAGCTGTTTACCAGAGCTCCTGTTGACTCTCATCAAGCTCACCCCTCTGCAATTGAACCTCCCCATGACGTAGAGAAACACAATGAACCTCCCAAAGTATCTGAACCTCCCAATGAAGTGTTGGATGTTACTGATGGTGAAATAATTGTGGATGTTGATGACACCACCAATGTTGGTTGGACGCAGGTAATGATTGAGGCTTTTGAACTCTATGATCCAAAAGTAAGTTCTCTTTGTCACTTTTTTTGTCAATTTACTCAGTGACATCTTTGCAGCCGTTTGATTTATTTTATTTTTGTTCTGTAGCCGCAAGTCTTGCCTACTGTTAATCTGGCATCTTCTTTACCACCTCAAGCCCAGTCAGATACTCCCTTAAACATCCAGGTCCTATTCTTGTAACTTACATAGTATTTCACTATTTTGCATGCTTAGTCATTTCGTATTTCTAATACGCATGTGATTTGTGGCTTTGTTATTTAATTAATTGTACAAATACTTACACTTATTTACCTCTATTGTACAGGTTTCCCCTTCTAAGACTACTGCAAATATTTGCTTTGATGCTATACAAGAACTGTCACGCCCCGGACCGCGTCCGAGCCACGTAGACAACCGCCGTACAACCCGATAAGAACAACGACAGTTCATCCCCATTGAGTTGTACAAGGCGTCCGATTGATTCTATTGCCAAACCGATTAGTAAACACATACAATCAACATCAATATCATAATCAAACAAATGCGGAAATAATAAAATGTTTGATACTTAGCCACACGTGGCAAACACGGGCACGCAGGCCCCCAACTGTTTTAATGAAAACATTGTTCAAAAATCCATGAGCGGTTTATACATTTGAAATAAGAATGGAAGCACGAACCACGTCTTCCTTCTCGATCAGTCACCCTAGGAAAAGGTGCAGGTAGTAGGACTCTAGCCTCAACCTGAAAAATGTGAGGGCCCCCGGAGGGGTCAGTACTCCATAGAAGTACTAGTAGTGACAAGCAGGCTATATGAAGAATAACTAATGTTTCAGACACGAGACCCAAAAATAGGGTGATATATACATATAGATGTCCCTCATCCACCCGATGATACATACTGTATATATACTCGTAAAATACTCAACCCGTAGGTCATTTACCTTAAAGAGTCTTTTAGAGATAAAGTTCTTACCTGACTTTTCTCACTCCTTTCCCGGTTACCTAGCTCACAAGCTATAGTCTACCTTCGATTCATACTACCGAGTGTTTTAGGATCATTTACCGTCCAAGGCACTCAACCCATCCTGGAGTATTTAAGATCATTTACCGTCCAAGGGTACTCGGCCCCACCTGGAGTATTCTGGATCATTTACCGTCCAAGGGTACTCGACCCCACCTGGAGTATTCTGGATCATTTACCGTCCAAGGGTACTCGACCCCACCTGGAGTATTCTGGATCATTTACCGTCCAAGGGTACTCGACCCCACCTGGAGTATTCTGGATCATTTACCGTCCAAGGGTACTCGACCCCACCTGGAGTATTCTGGATCATTTACCGTCCAAGGGTACTCGACCCCACCTGGAGTATTCTGGATCATTTACCGTCCAAGGGCACTCAATCCCCAGTCTATTCTCTACCAAATCCTAACCTGGATATGGCTAACCTTTCATTCCTTTAACTATGGACAATGCCTAGCCCTATAGTCATATAACAATCCTTAGGATCCAACGTGGGCGGGTCCCACCCGAACGGCCCACGTTAACCTACTCAAAACTGCCCATTCTGAGCTTAACCCAATACCCGGTCGGGTATCCAACCTTACCCGGTCGGGTGGGGTGAGGCAGTAGCCCCTGGAGCCAACTTTACTTGAGACCCGGTCGGGTCTACACCCATACCCGGTCGGGTCTACACCCATACCCGGTCGGGTCTAGTGTGGCAGTGGCTTCTGGAGCCATTTTTAATAAAACCCGGTCGGGTATTCACCCATACCCGGTCGGGTATCACCTTTGTCTTGGCGGTCAACGCTCGTTTGACCGCCCAAACGAAGTCCGATTAACGTGAAATTTTATACACTTATACTTCTTGACGTCCTTGATCCAAAAATACCATTTTGGATCCCTGGAACATCACACATAAGAAGTTATCACATTTTTGATCACCAAACCTACATAACATGCTTTTCAATTATGTTTTATGTATAATCATGGCATAAACACACACTTGGTTATCTTTAATCATTCCACAAAACATATTCCTGATTACTTTAGGTAATCTCATGCCTCACGCAAAAGTTATAAAGCATAAATCCGTCTTCTCACCTTAATGAAGCTTATGAAGTTCTAGCCTTCCCGATTTAGCTCCGACGAAACTCCGGCGAACTTCAACGAACTCCGGCGACAACTCCGGCGACCTTTTCAACTCCGTGAAAGTTCCTTGAATACCTTAGACAAGTTACTAACAAGGTTTTATCATCATAAAACCCATAGTAATACAAATAACCTCCAAAAGGTTATTTTCCGGCGAACCGGTCACTTTGGCTTCTAAGTCCGTTCTTGGGCTTAGAACCACCTTCCAACCCCTCATTCTACACTTCTAAACATGTAGAACAGTCCTAGGGGTAATCTATTTGATATGAACGTCATATGATAAGAAAAGATTGAAGAAGAGTTTGCAAAAAGCTTCTCACCTTTATTCCCAAGGTTTTTCTCTATTTTTGCAACTCTTCGTTCTTGATTTAGCTTCTTGCTTGATTGAGCTCCCTTCAACAATGGAGATGTGGATTTGCAGAGCCTCTTCTCTTCTCCCTTGATGGATGGAGTCGCAGCATATGGGGTGTGGGGGGTGATTGAGGATGCCATATTGGCATTTTCTCACTATCATGTTAGGAGAGGGGTCCATGTCATTTAATGATTTGGGTCTCCAATCAGCCCATGCTTGCCCCCTCCCATTATGTGCAGAATACCCTGACTTTTGACAGCCTAATTTCGTGGGATGGCCCCCACTTATGTGGGAGGTCATCCCTTTAAATCCCGTCGTGTACAATCGGTCCCGAAAGTTGTATTTTCCGGACTGTTTTAAGTATATTTTATTTTATCGGGTCAAATAAAATATAACATTTGTTCCCAATCCTCATTGGACCTTAGAATCAATATGCATTCCCCAACTTTAATTTAGAAGTCTCCGGAATCCCTTTTTGGGCTGTTATCCGATAATTTGCCGATACCGATAATCTGGCCCCATTTGACCAACCGGTCATCTCTATGCCATTACCAGGCCCAATTAGGATATCCATCACCATATACATATTATCTAGTCCAAGATTAATATAATATGTGGTCCCGATAATATCGGGCGGCCCCACATCCGGTGTGGGCCCCACGTGAATTTTACTATTCACGTAATAGAAATGATAAAAATTTACAATCACGTAAAAATGCTTTTATACATTTCTCAAGGTGCAATACATAATTTGGTACAGTACAAATACTCGGGGGCGGTGTTACAAGTTCTACCCCCCTTATTTGGGATTTCGTCCCCGAAATCCACGCGTCTAGTCAAACAGAAATGGATACTGTTCCCTCATCAGGGTCTCCACTTCCCAAGTTTGCTCCTCGACACGATCGCTCTTCCAAAGTACTTTTACCATCGGCACCTCTTTGCTCCTTAGCTTCTTTACCTGGCGGTCCATGATTTTCACCGGCTGCACCGTATAGTGTAGGTCTTCTCGGATTTCCACCGGTGGTTTCTCAAGAATATGTGACGGGTCCCGCACATACTTCTTGAGCATAGAAACATGAAATACATTGTGAATCTTTTCTAATTCTGGGGTCAACTGAAGTCGGTATGCTACAACCCCAATCGTTTCAAGGATTTTGAACGGACCTATGTAACGTGGGTTAAGCTTACCCCGACTGAGGAACCTGATGATCCCTTTCCAAGGTGATACCCTCAGAAATACCTCGTCACCAACCTCAAACTCCAACGTTCTCCGACGTTTATCAGCATAGCTCTTCTGCCGGTCTTGGGCAGCCTTGAGCCTATCCTGTATGACTTTTATCTTCTCCTTAGTGATCTCGACTAACTCGGTGCCCTCGAACTTAGCCTCGCCGACCTCGTTCCAACACAATGGTGTCCGGCATTTCCTCCCATACAATGCTTCGTATGGAGGCATGCCTATACTTGCCTGATAACTGTTGTTATAGGCGAATTCCACCAAAGCCAACTGATTGTCCCAGCTCCCCTGGAACTCCAAGGCACATGCCCTTAACATGTCCTCATAGATTTGAATCCCCCGTTCAGATTGCCCATCCGTTTGAGGATGAAACGCAGTGCTAAACCTCAATTTCGTACCCATGGATTCCTGGAACTTAGGCCAAAACCGTGATGTGAACCGTGGGTCTCTATCCGATACTATAGTAACCGGGACCCCATGCAGTCTCACAATCTCATCTGTGTACAATTTGGCCAACCGCTCGAGCGTATAGGTAGTGTTGATAGGTAGGAAATGAGCGCTCTTGGTCAGCCTATCGACTACCACCCATACCACGTCGTAGTTCCTAACCGTCCGTGGTAGACCCACCACGAAGTCCATGGTAACATGCTCCCACTTCCATTCTGGAATGGTAAGTGGTTGTAGTAACCCTGCCGGGTGTTGGTGCTCTGCCTTAACCTGTTGACAAGTAAGGCAACGGCTCACGTATTCTGCAATTTCTCTCTTCATCCCCGACCACCAGTAGCTTTCCTTCAAATCCCGGTACATCTTTGTACCCCCCGGGTGCATGGCATACGCAGATGAGTGAGAGCCTCCTCAAGGATAGATTTTCGGAGCTCCTCATCCGATGGTACACACACTCGTTCCTTGAATAGTAGAAGTCCATCTTCTCTCTCACGGAAACCCTCGACGGGCCCCACAAGCATCCGTTCCCGGATTTTCTGAAATTCCTCGTCATTGCCTTGACATGTTCTGATTTCATCTAATAAGGTGGGTCTCACCTCAAATCTGGCCAATAGCGCCCCATCCGTGGATACCTCCATGCGTGCCCTCAGTGCCCGTAAGCATGTGAGTAAAACCCCTGATGATGAGCTCTTCCTGCTCAGTGCATCAGCTACAACATTAGCCTTGCCTGGATGATAGTCAATGATCAAGTTGTAATCCTTAATCAACTCCATCCATCTCCTCTATCTCATGTTCAACTCTTTCTGAGTGAACACATACTTCAAGCTCTTGTGGTCGGTGTAAATGTGACACAACTCCCCGTAGAGGTAGTGCCTCCAAATCTTCAATGCAAATACCACAGCACCTAGCTCCAGATCATGTGTGGGGTAGTTTACTTCATGCTTCCTCAACTGCCGAGAAGCATAAGCAATTACCTTCCCTGATTGCATCAGTACACATCCCAGTCCCTGAATGCTAGCATCGCTGTAGATGTCATACCCTAACCCTTGCACGGGCAGGGCAAGCACTGGTGCTTCGGTCAAACGTTTCTTTAGCTCAAGAAACCCCTTCTCACACTTGTCATCCCACACAAACTTATCCCCTTTTTTAGTGAGCTTCGTGAGTGGGGATGCTATCACCGAGAATTTTTCCACGAATTTGCGGTAATACCCCGCTAAACCGAGGAAACTCCTTATCTCCTTCACGTTCTTGGGCCTCTCCCAATTAGTGACCGCCTCAATCTTGGAGTTATCAACTGAAATGCCCGAGCCCGATACCACATGCCCGAGAAAACCGAT